AGATTCAATTTTTTTTATCCAGTAGTTTGCAATGATATATTTTTTTTAAGATTTTATTTATTTATTTGACAGACAGAGATCAGAAGTAGACAGAGAGGCAGGCAGAGAGAGAGGAGGAAGCAGGCTCCCTGCTGAGCAGAGAGCCCAATGCAGGGCTCAGCTCGGATGCCAGGACCCGGATGCCAGGACCCGGGGACCATGACCTTAGCCAAAGGCAGAGGCTTAACCCACTGAGCCACCCAGGCGCCCCCCCCCACTTTTTTTTTTAAGAATTCATTTGACAGAAAGAGAGAGAGAGCAAGAGAGGGAACACAAGCAGGTAGAGTGAGAGGGAGAAGCTGGCTCCGTGCTGAGCAAGAAGTCTGATGCGGGGATCCATCCCAGGACCCTAGGATCATGGCCTGAACCAAAGGCAAATGCTTAAAGACTGAGCTACCCAGGTGCCCCTTTTTTTCCTTTCTGAAAGAAAATTCTCTCCCTGGAAGATTTCTATCTGCATATTAAAGTTTTATCCTAAACATCCTGAACTTTCTGTCCCTCAATTTAAACAAATAATTAAGTTTTGCTAATCAAACAGAAATACTCTTAAACTTAGGCTAACACATCATAAAGAAAATTAAGTACCTCAGAGACAAAAATTGAAATTGAGGGCTAAATAAATTTTTCCAAATTTTTTCTTACCAGTATATCTCAATAATGAAAGCTTTAACCCCAGCTTTAACACAACATTAACACTTTTTAAAGGCAATTCTCAGTTCATTTTGCTCTTGAAAAAGGTTTAGGTTGCATGTTTAAACAAATCCTATAATCAATGGTAGGGAAATTTTTCCAGTGGGGTATGAATCTTAAGCTGAGCTGGCTCATGTATTTATAACACCACTCACATTCTATTCTAAAAATCTATAAATTTTGTTGATCAGTTCACTAAACATCACAGCTAGGTGGATAGGTTCATGGCTCCCGTGTAACCAATCTACAATTTACTACTAGCAAAGCCAAATTCAGCTAAACACCCATTCAAAGACTAATAACAAATGAAATTTGTTTTTACACTTGCAAACTACCTGAAGGACTTAATCCAGTATACTAAGTGAGAAAAAAAGTTTTTCTTCTGAGCAGCACGGTCCTAAATTTGTCTTGAAAGACAGTTACAAGTGGGCAACAGGGTTTCTTTTGGGAGTGATGAAAACGTTCTAACATTATGATGATGGTCTTACAGCCCTGAAACTACTTAAAACTACTACGTGTTACATTTTAAGTTGATGAATTACATGGTATATATGAATTATATCTCAATAAGGCTGTTATTTTTTAAAAAGTAATTGTAAGTTTTTCTTTCACTCAAGGATGTTTTTATTGATAAGCCTTTTCTCCAAATGGTAAAGGGGTCTAAGGTGGCTAAAGAATCCCAACCAGAGAAAAATTCTGAGACACCAAAGGAACTGGGAAAACAACAGAGAGGGTTAGGCCAAAGTCAATCAAACCTAAAATTAGGGAGATTGATAGGTTGGAATGAGAGTAAATGAGCTCCATATCATTAACACCTCTAACCATACAAAGAAATGTGTATTTAAGTTCCTCCCTGCCCCTAATGGTAGAACCAGCAGGCTCACTCAAAGATGCTGACTGCATTAAAATACTCGAAAGTTTTACACTTTGCCTATAAAGAGGACGGGATCAAACTAATGACCCACAGGAAGTTAAAGTTGAAAAAAAAAATATGTCTATTGTGCCATCTGGGGTTTGATTTAAATCCCTGATTTTTGGACACTGCCAATAAAATATGTGGAATCTAATTATCTATGGCCAAACGTTAGACATTTGAGGGCAACAAAGAAAGTTACTAAAGCCATCAAATATATTCCAATCAAACTTGGGAGACTCAATAAGTATCACTGAGCAGCCAACCTATTTTTTGCTTAACAGTTAACACTCCTAAAATTAATCACTTCCAAATACCACAAAGCAACATGGAAAATCTGCCCTTAAAAAGACATCTAAGCACATCAAGGAGGAAATGAAAATGTGCATTTTGCAGGTAGCAAAACCAGAAGTCAGATTATTGGAAAGTTAAAAAAATTGAAGCCCAGGAAATAAGCCTTGTTATCCTACATACGTCATTTGAGAGACATTTATTTCCTTCTTTAAACTTTTAACTCAGAATTTAACAGTCTTCTTAATTTATTACCTTTTATCACATTTATTAAAATTTCACAAATTTCTGTGAACCCCCAAGTTTTCAGAAGCAAAACAGTTTAGGACTCTCACAGAATGCAGCTATAAACTGAAACTGTGTAAGTAATAGTAATTAAAGATACAAAGATAAGAACAAAAGGAAACAGAAATGCTTTATAATTCTTCCCCTACTCTCCCACAGCAAATACCAACAGACCCAATCTCCATGTTAATACAGCCACTTGTATTCCAAAAAACTAGAGAATAAAAACCATCTAGAAACACAGGCATTATATAGCCATACCAGGGACAATATTTCATACCTCTTGGGTTTTTTGTTGCTTTATTTCAACTATATGAAACCACTTGTTCACAGCTTTCTAAAACAGAACAGTTTCTAAAACAAAGACTGTTTACATCCTTAAACCTTTGTTCCAACAAGACCCTTCTTCAAGAGCTACAACTTCTGGAAAGATTTCCCTTTTTGTGGTTATATCAACAACAAACTCTTTCCATTTGACACAGGAGTTTGTTAAACAAAGAAGAAAGCCCCCCTCACACAAAGGAGGTCTCCAAAACAGAGCACTGGTTATGTTTGTAGATTGTGCCTACTTAACACCCTTTCTCAGGCTGTAGAATGTACTACTCTCATTACAAAATGGTGGCCATCATGTCTGTCTGGCATTCAGAATGGGAAAAGGCAGTATGATCACACATTTTGCAAAGCTTACCATTAATACCCTAACCAAGATGAAGAAATGGGTAGCCAAACCTAACCAGAGCCAACACTATCTTTCTGGGAAAGGGTTCTATAAAAGGCACAGAATAATAAAGTAAAATAAAGGGTTTACCCCAGCCCTAGTATACCACAATACCAACATGGAGGACAACTCTCACTCCTAGGAACCCGACTCCACACATTTTGGTTACCAAGAACTTAATCAAGTTGCCGGATTTCTGAATAAAGTCTCATTAATGCAAATGAACAATACTCACATTCACCCTCCCTAGCATATGACATAAAGCCAAACTGCTAAATGTTTGAAACATGACCTATTCTTCAAGAATTAAAACCTTTGCTCTAATAAGCCCCAGCTATAACTTCTGCAGGCCTCTTTGCACTCTAGAAGAAATACACTTCCCTTAAGCAACAAGAACCAACCTTATCCACTTCTTGAAACAAATGGTTCTATTTTCAAACATTTCCCCCATTCTAGCTGAGCAGTAATTTTCTGAAGCATAGGTCTCATCTCCATCTTCAAACTTGTCCAAGAAAAACCAAAGTGTGGTGTCTGTGTTTTAATTTGCGGGGGAGAAGGAGATGGGAGACCTGAGAAAGGAGACCTACAGAGATCTCCCTCAAAACTGCCTTTCCAAACCAGAAGGATTACGTACAGAACCCCTGCAACTCCAAATGTCATTACAAAGAGCAAGCTTAAGAAAGAAAGGGATTGGGGGGGGGCGGAATCTTCCTCCAGCGGGTGTGGGAGCGGGGGTAGGAGTGGGGGTGGGGTGGGGGCTGGGGAGGATAATGGGGAGAAGATTCTTCAACTGTAGGAAAAGCAGTTAAACATCCTTCCCAACGGTTCCAGCCCGTCCAGGCCCATCCCAACGGATTCAGGCCAACTCGGACTCGGACCATCCGCAAGGTGGGCAAAAAAACAGGGGTGTAGGCGCGCACCCAGTTCCGGGTGGGGGTGGAGGCGGGGGTGGGGGACAAGGAAGGGCTGGCCTGGCTCTGCTCAGCGAACGTTGGAGCCGTTAGGGATGACTTCAGCAACACCCCACCCCTCACACACACAGCCCCCAGGCCCGAAGCGCTTTAAACGGGGCTCAGAGGGCTGAAGTGGGGCTGCATTTCAACCTACGCCGGTTGCGGGGCGCGGGAAGTGCGCGTGAAGCCTCCGGAGGTCTTCTGGTCTGACACGTACCCCTACTGCACGACCTCGCCCCCACCCCAACGACACAGCCCAGACCTCCCCGGGGAGCCGAGCGGCCCGGCACAAAGTCGGGTGTGTGCGCAGCCGGGCGCGCGGGCGGGCACCCGGCCCTCCGCCGCCGGTCCTGCGCCCCAAGCGCCCCCAAGCGCCCCCCACACACACTTACGCCCCCCCACAACACCACCTCGGCTCTGGGGCCGGCCCCGCGGCTCCTCCCCGCCCCCCGGCAGGGCTGGACTCCCCCTCCTCGAGCTCGGCCCGGGGGACAGCAGGAGGCCCGGGGCCCGGGGGGCAGGGGGGTGCCCCCGCCTGCAGGGTGGGGCGCCCAGGTGAGGGCCGCTCCGGGCCGACGCCGCCACCACACAAAGGACCAGGGGCTCCCGCCGCCATATTGAAAACTTTCCTCCGCGCACGACAACTCGCAAGTCCCCCACCCCCACCCAGCACACACCCCCGCACCCCGGGGGAGGAGGCGAGCCCCAGCCCGCGGAGCCGCGCCGAGCCCGGCGCCCGCCCTCCTCGCCCGCGACGCCGCCGGCCTCCGGCAGGAAGCACCCCCGCGCCCACCCCGGCCACCACTCCATCCGGAACCGAACCCGAACCCCGAGCCGAGCTGCACACCCGTCCGCCCCGGCCGCGCGTCGCCCGGGCCCTCGGGGTGGCACCACCGAAGCGCCCGCTCTCCCACGCTCCTCTTCTCCAACCCTGGAGAATCCCCGTCCTCCTCCCCCGGCCTCAACTCCGACCCTGGGGCAGCCCCAAACTTGACGCGGCCTCTAGGGCGACCCCGCTCCCCGCCCCGCCGCCTTTCGGGCCTCCCCGGACCGCGAGTCCCCGCTCCCTCCCCCAGCCGCAAGCAGGATCCGGGGTGCCGGCGTGACTCACCGGCGGCGGCCGCACCTTACAGATCCCAGTCTGCTCGGCTATGGGCCGGATCTTGTGGATGAAAGCGAAGGGGTCCGCGAACTCTTCCCAGCTAGGCTCGAAGACCGGGCACTCGGGGGGAGGCAGGAACTCGCCCAGCGGGCCCGGGCCCCCGAGGGGCAGCGCCGGGCGCGGGCCCGGGGGCAGCGCGGTGGCCGGCTCCATCACCGCGGGTCGGAGACGGGTGAGGACGGGCTGGGCTCCGGGACCGCGGCGGCAGGCTGCGCTCGGTCCGAGACGTGTACAGACGCGGCTCCGGCGACAGCAAATCCGACTTGTATTAGCAACGGCAGCACCTTGGGCTTTTTCAGCCTTCCTCCGACGACGTCTTGCCGCTAACCCACGCCGTGCGCCTCCGCCGCCACGGCGAGGAAAAAGAGTCCCACCCCCCCCCCCACCCCCCCCCCCCCCCCCGCGCCGAGATCTCGGCCCCGCCCCCAAATCGGGCGGGGCCGGGGCCTTTAGCCTGGGGATGGAGTTGATCGTTACAGTCCAGTCAGGCCCGCATTTATTGACCATTTACTACGTGCCAGAGTCCCTTCCCTCAAGAAGTTGATACTCTGGTGAAGATCAGACACTTGAGTGGCTTATTCAATCATGTCGGCACACTCTGGTAGGTGCCATGATAGAAGTGTATACACTTAGTAAAACCTGGGGAGGGGCAGAAAGTATCCGGCATAATGGAGAAGGATCTTCTAGGTAGGGGGAGCGGATTGAAAGCAAGAACAAAATGGAGGTGAGAAAACAATCGTTTTAATGTTAATAATAAGCCAACTCTTGAGCACTTGCTATCCTGGGAACCGTTCTGAGTGCTTTGTCTGAGTAATCATTTAATCTGCACAGCAGCCCTATGATGTAGGTACTCTTATTTCCATTTTACAGATGGAAAGTGAGGCACAGGTTCAAAGTTTACACAAATTCATACAGCTAATAAGGAATAGAGACTCTGTCTTTGGAAAGAGGCAGGGAAAAGAGTGATCCTTGAGCAATAGAACAAGGAGGCGGTGGTGAGAGAAGCAGAAGACTTTAAAAATAATCTAGATGAGAAACGATGGTGCCTAAATTAAGGCAGTGGTGCTATTCATTAGGAAGAAGGGATGCAAATGTAGGAGATAAAATTAGGACTCAGTGATAAATTGGGGAGGGACAGTAAGGTATGGAGGATGATTCAGACGTCCAAGGTACGTGCCTGAATGGTTGCTCTGCCATTGACATTGCTGAGACATTCCCCTAGATTACATACAGGAGAAATCAATATGAGGTGGGAGATAATGTGTTCACTTCTGGATGCGTTTTGGATATTGTTGAATTTGAGGTGTCTTTGGTACAGCTGGAAATATTTAACAGGCTGAATAGTATGTATCTGAAGTGGAGATGTAAGTCTGGAGTTTTTGGCATATGAGTGATAGGCATTATCTAATGCTTACTGTGTGTAAAGCATTGTTGTAAATGCTTTGAGTGTGTTAGTATATTTGCTCATTGAATCTACAGAACCATCCTGTTGGGTTGGTACTATTATGTCCATTTTTTTTTAAAGATGTTATTTTATTTGTCAGAGAGGGAGAGAGACACCGAGCACAGGACCAGGGGGAGCGGCAGAGCGAGAGCGAGAAGCAGGCTGTCCACTGAGCAAGGAGCCCGATGTGGGACTCAATCCCAGAACCCTGAGATCATGACCTGAGCCGATGCCAGACACTTAACTGACTGAGCCACCCAGGCATCCGCTATTATGTCCATTTTGCAGAGGAAGCAATGGAGGCACAGAGAGGTTACGTAACCTTAAGAGATATGAACACTTTTGAGGCATCGGGGTAGGGGGACAGGTTGAGTGCCTAGTGTCCTGCCCAGAAAAGAGGAAAGAGGAAATTCAACAAGTAGGACCTCAACACAAAAAAGATCTCTCTTATCCAGAAATCAGCCAAACCCATGAAAGTACTGTTTGGGTCAACATAGTCCTAGTTCTGCTTTCAGATTCATTAGAAGAAAGAAATCTCTCTTATCCTTAAGGAGTCTTCAATTTAAAAGAGGGGAGGAGAGAAGACTCCACTTCAATAAACTCTTCCCAGAAGTACTTGGCCCCAAAAGAGTTCAGAAAGGTCCTTTACAGAAGGTACTGCTTGTCTTAGCTCTGTAGGGCTCCAGACCTAGGTGAGCCTATTTGGCTCCCCACTGCAACAGACGCTTAAGCCAGGGGGCAGCTGGCATCCTGCTGGAGAAAAAGTCTTCAGTGCAAGATAGATACGAGATACAGTAAGTTCTAATAAAATGCTAACGGTAGAACCTAGGTAGTGGGTCTAGAGGAATTCGCTGCAAAATTCTTTTAACTTTGCAGAATATTTGAAAATTTTTCATAATAAAATGTTGGGGGAGAAGAATCACTGTTGCTCTTTGCCGAGAGAGTATATATGCTTTTGAGGGTCTCGCTGCAGTTGATTTCCTGTCATGTGCTCTTTCCTGGGAGAGCGTTAAGACGATTTTCACACTTAACACTGGCATCCTTCAACCCGGATAGGTGTAACTTCGGGGAAAATTCTAGGGACATATCAGTAATGACTAATACTTAACTGAGGGGCACTGGAAGGAGTCTAGGAAAACCTTTCCCAACCCTCGGCTGTGTACTAGGACTCCCTCACGCTCCCAACTCCCAAGCTCTCTCCATTTCCGGTAGTGACCCTAAGTGATGAGATTTTGTTGCTCCCAGATCTGGCAGCAGCTGTTTGGCTCCCCACGGACCCGATGTGACGTTGAGGGAGGGGGCGGTTGCCAGGGTAGTGAGGGGAACCTAGGGACCCAAGGGGCTCTCCCGCAAGGCGACAACTCCCCCACCTCGCACCAGACGCTTCCCTTGCCCTTTATGATGTGTGTTTACATGGGCGGAGGGATCCCTCGCCAGCTGACAGCCACACCGCGGCCGGCTCTTCTTTTTTTAAAGAGCCTAGCCACAGGCGGTGATTGGCCGAGGCCAGGGCCGCATCAGCCTCCGGGGGCGGGGCCCGGGCCGCATTGTCTCGTCTGGGGCTGGCCGGACGCCCCAGAGGCCGGACCTGGGTAACCCCGGTCCGGAGGTCCCAGGGCTGGAGCTCCCAGAGGCCTGGGTGCGAGGCCTGGGCGGGTCCGGTCCGGCTTTCCGGGGAAGAGCGGGGTTGGAGCCCAGGCGCCCGAAGCGGAACCAAGCCCCGCTCGGAGTGCCACGTCTCCAGGAACCCCCTCCTTACTCTTGGACAACACTCCGCCCCACCCGGGCCTCCGTCCCCCAAACCACCCCTATTTGTGCAGCCCCAAGTGCTTCGGACACATTCCTAACGGTCTCCATCCTCATCGGGCTCCCTTGGTCTCCAGGCCTCACTCCCCGAACCTGCGCGATCCTACTCCGCCCCCGGCCTGCGCCCCAGATCTGCACCCTTCGCCCCTAGATCCGCCCGCCTAGTGATGAGGCGCTCCCCGCGTTCCTTCCGGTCGCCTCTACAGGACCGCCAAGCTCCAGGGTTGCAAGCCGGAGGAGCGACTTTCTCCTCCCCCAACCCCCACCCCCTCCCCCATCCGCCAGTCCCCAGCTTATTGCGGGGGGACTGGACTCCAGGATGAGGGGCCGGCCCGACTCCCCAGCAGCCAGGGAGGGGGCGGCGGCCCGCGCAGCACGTAGCGCACGTGTAGGAGCCGCTCTCCACCCGGTCTGCCGCCCGCCGCCTCCGACCACTTTCCAGAGCTCCGGTTGTCGGCGGTGCGCCTGCCTTCCGCCCTGACCTCTGGTGTCTGCGCCCTCCGAGTACTGCACTCCTTCGAACACCACCCTTCCCTTCCCAGCCCTGGTGATCCTCTGCTCTTTCTCCTTTCCCCGAAGTTCCCCGGTGCACGGGCCTTTCCTCCCCGCCTCTTCACAGTCGGTCTCAGCGCCTCGGCCAATTCAATGCCCTCCTCTCTCTCCCTGTCCCCCCACCCCGCCCCACTCTGGGTGTCCTGGAGTGTTTTGTGTCAGATGTTCCCTGTGGGAACTCACAAACCCTGAGATCTCGAGATGAGCTGCAGACTCTTCGGCCTCCCTGTTTTATTTATTTTGTGTACTCCCACAGCGTCTCGTTACTACTCTTACTGCACTCATAACTCGGTAATTGTCTTTAACATTGCCTTCTTCCCCTATACATGGCTCTCCTCCAGACTGGAAGCCGCTAGCCCTGGCAGCAGGCACGTGGTAGAAACCCCAGAAATATTTGTTGAAGGGGACGGAAAAAGGCCTTGAGCGTCTGTGGCTCCTACTGGCTGAGGATGCAACTTTGGGCTGGAGAGGAGAAGAATCTGGCCTCCACAATAGATCAGTATGTGCTGGACGGGGGCCCACATAATGCGATAAATCCATCTCCCCCATTCCCTGCCCTGTTCATTTTCCTGGAACCAGCAATACCGTTTCCTCTACTGGGCTTGTCTCTCCTGTGGGGCTTCTTTGCTCAATCCTCTGCCCTACCCCCAGCTAAGGGGGCTGTCTCTTCAAATCAGCTCACCACCCCAGGACAAGGGTCTCATCTCTGGGCTTCTGTTCCTGGGAAGCTGGGTCTGGATTCTGGGGAAACACCTGATAAGTAAATATCTCTTCCCCCATCTCTACTTCTATCCCTTCTATCCCTTCTCTACTGATTCAAGCCAAGGGGATCTAGGATTCAGGGTTTTGGTTGACCTGGGTGTGGGGCCCAAAGGGCTAGACCCTCCTCCTGCCCCCTCCCCACGGAGCCTCCAACAGACACTGGCAAGTGGGGCAGTTCCCACGGTGTGGCCAGCCCTGCCCATAGGGGTGGGGAGGGCCAGAGTCACCCGGTGCTAGGGCTTCAGGGTGTTTCCTCCCTTTCTGGTTGGACCACTTTAGAGGCCCAGGACTCCTGTGGAACAACCTTGTGCTGAGGAGAGAAGTGGAGAGGTGGAGAGGGAGACGCCCTCTCCGTTCATTCTGCAGCAAAACCACCACAGCTAAGGTCTGGGGACAGAGGCGACCCTCTCAGCACACTGTATGGCCTTGGATAGCTGGAATGTTTGGAATTCCCTATATCCGGGATGAAAGTCTTCCAACAGGAAGAAAATGACTTCTACACGAATTATGTCAGAACTTCAGGGAGCACTCCCAAATCTGCCACGCTCCTTGGAAATGCCCAGTGTTCTGCCGAATCCTGTTGAGTGACCCGCACAGGGTCTCACACACTAAATGCTAATTCCCTTCCTTCTCTCCCCTGGCCGGAAGTGGTGATATGTGAACAACGAGAAATTCTGCCCTAGCATGAACGAGACAGGGCCAGCGGCAGGGAGTAATTCAGAGTCTCTCAGACATATCAACAAGGTGAAGTAGGTGGCTAT